GTATTCTTTCATGTTTCCATTTGTGAGCGCACATCTCAACTCAATATGTATAATTTTTTTAAAAATTTTCTAAAAACGTTTCACGTTTTTTTGAGTGTGCAGTCAATGCCCTAAAACACCATCTGTTGATATCTTGTATTTTCTTGACTTTGCCCTCCGTCCACAGGGAGCGCAGGGTCTCAAGGCTCAGAAACACAACTATCAGGTAACTAAACACAAACATATTAAAGTGTGCAGTTTATGGCATCCCTGGAGGTACGAAATGTGCCGCACGTATTATTCATGGCTAGCATCAGATGTTTGAATGATAACACTTATATAGTTAATCCTCCCACCCCACGCATCAAACAAAAAAAAAAAAAAAAAAAAAAAAAAAAAAAAAAAATGAACGATTTTTGATGTAGACCATATAGCCGCAATGAGAATAGAACCATATTTACTGTTATCCTATTTATCTTATAGTTAAAACAAGAAAATAAAATAAATACAATTTAAATAAGGCTCATCTAGATAATTTCAAAACCTATAATGGAATTTGCATAGACCCTTCTTCATTACTTGAGTTGATAATATAATTAAATGACCCGAACAAGTGTTTCTTAAAACAAAACAAAAAAATATGACTCCAGCTGAATGTAGAGAATTATATAAAGTGTTGGGAAAGAGAATGCCAACGATCCACTCGGCCTTTCATCGTGTCATGCTGTCGTCAGAACACGGGTCATAGTTTCATGGTCCACACGGTACGCATTTCAATGGAAATAGATGTTGTAAACAAAATAAAAAAAATCATATTTTATCAATAGTATATCAAACGAAATTTCGCTACTTTGTATTGACTATTTTCTACAGCTAGGGTAGATGGTCTAAGTCGCAAAGGGTGCAAAACCGGTTCCGGGCTAAGTCGCAAAAGGAGTGAATCTGTTAGGTGCCGATAACACTTTTAATTTCATTTAAATACGTTATAATTATTATTATTATGTTGTTGTTTTTTCATGGCGCTGTTACCCAATCCTAGGGCTAGGCTAACTGCGCTTCATATCAAAATTTGCAAATACAAAAAATTATACATAAAAAAAACAATTGGTAAAAAGCTTGATCTCACCCACCCAAGTACTATCTACCCCTGTCTTAGCCATTAACAGCACCAAGCACCATCGAGTGCTAGAAGGGGTGGGGGGGGGGCTGGACAATGAGTTGACTTTGATAGTAGAGTTTGATGAGATGGGTCTTGGGGGGCTTTTTGAAGGCTGAGATGGTCGGCATATTGCGGATGTGTAATGGGG